AATTTCAAGTAGCTAATATATATGTATTTGAGAATCTCTGAAGGGAGTGGAAGACAGAAGAAATATTTGAGGAAATAATGGATGAAAATATTACAAAATGTGATAAAGACTAAAAACCCACAGACCCAAGAAGCCCAAGAAACTTGTTGAAAATGACTCCTAAACAAATCATCATCAAATTACTTAAAATCAGTAATAAAGAGAAAATCTTAACAATAGAAAAGGTGCACTATGTACTGAGGATTAAAGATGAAAACGTGGCACACACTGAAACCAGGCAAACTAAAAGATACCACAGCAACATTTTTGAAGTACTGGTAGAAAACAGAGCCATCAACCTCAAATTCTATACCCAGATAAAATGTCTTTCAAAGACAAAGCTGAAGTAGAGAATTTTTAGATGTGCAAATGCTAAAAGAATTTATTACTAGCAGACTTACACTATGGAGTTATTAAAGGAGGCACTTCAGGTAGAAAGGTGATGGTAATAGTTGTAAACACAGATTGACATTATGGAATGGAGACCATTGAAATGGTAATTGTGTTGGTAAATATGTGACTTTTCTCTTTTTACTTAATTTCTTTATAACATAACTGACTAAGCAAACATAATAACATTATACTATAAAGTTAACAACATATAATTAAAACATATGATAAAAATATCAATGAAATATTAATATCACTTGAAGGTGTGCTGTACTTACCTACACTATAAACTTTAAAGTAACTCAAAATAACAGAGCAAAGAGCTGTAGTTCAAGGGTCAAGGATGGAGATAAAATGGAATAATTTCAGAAGGAGTGCTAAAGGTAGGAAAAAGAAAATAGAGAACAAGTAGAAAAAACAAAAAATAAGACAACAGACTAATTAATGATAGGTTAAAGTCTGAAAATCAACCAATGCAATTCACCAAATTAACATGCTGAAAAATCATATCATTTCCACAGACACAGGCAAATTTTACATCAATTCTTGATAAAAACTCTCACCAAATATTAGAATGGAACTGGGAATAGAAGAAATCTACCAAAAACCCTACAGTTAACATCATATGTAACAGCTAAAGGCTTTGAAGTCAAGAACAAAACAAGAATGTCTGTTCTCACACTTCTACTTAATGCTGTGCTGGAAATACCAGCCAGAGCAATGAGGCCAGGAAAAGAAAGAGAGTATATCTAGTCTGGAAAGAAAGAAGTAAAACTGTCTTTAATCACAGACAACATGATCATTTATGCAGAAAATCTGATAGAATCTACAAAAAAGCTACTAGAACTAGTGAGTTTAGCAAAGTTGCAAGATACAAGATCAATATACACAACAAAATCTATTTTATTTCTGTACAAAGCAACAATCAGAAATCGAAAGAAAAGATTGTATAAAATAGGATGAATGTATTAAATATTTAGGGGTAAATCTGACATACCCATACACTGAGAATTGCAAAGCTTTGAGAGAAATTAACAAAGTTGTAAACAAATGGAGAGGCAAATCTTATTATGAGTCAGAAGACTCAAAGGTTTTAAGATATTTTAAAAGCTGATCTACACATTCAATGTAATCTTGGTCAAAAGTTCCAGGAAGCATTTTCCTTCCCTTCCCCTTCCCTATCCCCTCCCCTCCCTTTTCTTCTCTTCCCTTCCCTTCCCTTCCTTTCTTTTACTTTCCATTTTGTCCGCCTTTCTGTTTTAGAAATTCACATGGAAATATGAAAGGCCTAGAATAGCCAGTACAACTTTGAAAAAGAAGAAGAACAGGAACATTTCCTAATCTTAAGGCTTACTAAAAACTACAGTGATCCTGCCCCAGAGTGGTACTGGCACCAAGCAGATTGGGGGACAGAATACCAAGTCCAGATCTGGACTCATCACTGGGACACGTGATTTTTTGACAAGGTTGTAAGGTCAATTTAATGGAAGAAGGATCATCTTTCTGATAAGCAATAGTGAAATCATTGCAAATCCACATGCAGGAAAATGAACATCAGTCCATATTCCGTGCGGTACACAAAATTAACTCAAGTTAAATCTCAGACTTAAATGTAAAACCTAAAACTGTTAGAATGGCTGGGAGAAAGCTTAGACAATAAAATCTTTGTGGCCTTGGGTCAGGCTGAGATTTCTTAAATACAATATCAAAAGCACGATCCACAAAGAACAAGTAGATACTCTACACTTCACCAAAATTTAAAAGTTTTGCTTTTTAAAAGACATCACTATGACAACAAAAGACAAACATCAATTAGAAGAAAATTTCTGCAAAGCACATATCTGATAAAGAACTTGTATCAAGAATATGTAAAGAACTTCCCAAACTCAACAACAAACAAAACAGACATTCCAATTTAAAAAAACTGACAAAATTTTCTTTGAGTAGAGAACACTTCATCAAAGAAGACCTAAGGATGTCAGGTGAACAACAGGAACAGATTCTTATCATTATTAGTCATCAGGGAAATGCAATTTCCCGCTGCACACACAGTAGGATGGTTAAAATTATAAGGACTGGCAGCACAGGGGCTGGGGATTTAGCTCAGCGGCAAAAGCGCCTGCCTGGCAAGCGCAAGGTCGTGAGTTCGGTTCCTGGTACCAGAGAAAAACCAAAAAAAAAAAAAAAGAAAAAAAAAGACTGGCAGCACAGAGTGCTGGTACAGGTAGATATACAACTTTCCCTCCTGCAAAGGACTGGTGGGAATGTAGAGCTCAAGCACAGGCTTACCAGAGGACCCAGCCATTGCTTCACTCCAAGGTGTTTTACTCAAGAATAGAGAAAGCATGTGTCTACAAAAAGACTTCCACACAAATATTCACTCAAGCTTTATTTGTAATTGCCCCCAACTGGAAACCACCCAGACGTCCTTCAAGGAGTAAATGGATCCACACGTTAGCACACATTCATGCCATGGAACTCTACTCAGCGGCAACCAGGAGCCAACTATTTATAGACACAGCACTACCAACAGAGCTCGAAACCATTATGCCAGAAAGAGAAGCCAAACAACAAAAAAAGTACATATGGCATGATGCTATTTATATAAAACTCTAGAAAATACAGTCTATTTGCAGTGAGAAGAGCAGGTGTGGGCTGGCTGGGGAAGAGCGTGTGGAGGAGATGGTGGAGGAAGAGATTATTACAAAGGGGCACCAGCAACTTGGAGGAGTGACAGATGCAGCATTATCTTCACCGTGGTGACGGTGTCATGGGTATAGATGTGTACTGAGACTTATCAAATGGCACACACCTGGCGTATTTTTTTAGTCCACATACTTTACTAAAGCTGTTTAAACAACACATGCACCCAAGTCTGACAAATCTCTGCATTGTTACTCCGAGGACGAATGGCGTCTTTATCCCTTAAGTGGGTTTGCCCCAAGGGTCTGTTGGATGAAACAGACTTGTTTTCAATACTTGGTGAAGGTGGGCCAATCACCAGCAGCCAAACCCTCTGTCTCCTTCTGTGGAGAACTGTATCTGTCACTGATGGAATGGGTGGCCACTGTGGGATGCCTGAAGCCACATGGAGAGGATCCCTTTGGTCCCAGCTCTCTGTCTGAGTCATGATGGAAAGCCAGCACACAGAGCCCAAGCCCAGATTCCATCAGTAAGCAGGTGGAATGGGGGACCCCAGGCAAAAGTCCTGTCCACAGACTACCTAGGTCACCGTACTACAGATCCCAGGACAGGATCTCCCTGCAAAATCAACCTCCAGGCCGTGTTGTCTGAATCAAGGGCAGGCTGAGGCAAGCACAACACGAGAGAGATCACCTGCAGAGATTTCCAGTGTTTGGCTTAGGAAGACATCCCACTCCCCAACCCAACAGACCTGCTCTCATTTTTGATGTTTGGAAAATATTTTGCAGTCCTTGCCCACACACCTTCTATCATGTCAGAAGGGCCCCTCCAGAACTGGAGTTAAAATTTCATTGGTTTTGAAACTGAAGTAAGAGTTGATTAGGTCAGCAGGGTTGTACCCTCAGCATGTGACGGATGTGCCCTTGTAAAAGCGCGAGTTTGGCTTCCCTGCTTTCTCTCCTTCCCCTGTGATGATGCTGCATGAAGGCCCTTAAGGAATGCTCTCACTGTGATGCTGGACTTCCTGGCTTCCAATACCATCAAGTTTCTGTTCATCTTAAGTTACCCAGCCTTAGCTACTGTGTTGTAACAGCTCAGACTGACCAAGACACTACCTCAGTCCCAAGAGCCCTCCCAGGTAGAAGCCCACCTGGGGCCAAGAATCGCAGACATTGTGTGTTGGTACATTCTGATTTTGTTCACAATAAATCCACACTATTTGTATCATCAGCCCTGAAAATAAAGCTCTATAGGAGAATCCAGAGAGGAGATGAGTTACCGGTGGGCTGTGGGGGTTGGGCTTTAAGGGACAAGGGATAGACAAGCTCTGGTCAACAACATTCAGTCCCCACGGAGAGTTCACAGTGGGGCCTGAGCTGATTGCCTCAGTGTCCACTCAGAGGGGACTGGGCCATGTAGGGAAGTGAGCCAGTCTGGACCAGTGGGCCCTGGGGCTGCCCTAGCGGTCCTAAGACCTTGCTGCAGATGGGCTGGGTGGCCATGCACCTAGTACTTGGGGGATAGGCTGGTGGTACCAAGGGGCTCTCAGGGAAGGAGAAGGGTGAGACAGGAGCAGGAAGAATCATTGCTGCTTCTGAGACCAGCTGGAGTTTCCTAAAACAAACACCTTATTCCCTCTATGCATTCCTCTCTGGGGTCCTCTGGCCCCCAGTCCTGCCTTCTCCAGCACATTTTGAAACTGTCCCCTGGGAAATGAGAGTGGAAATACCACAGAAGGTGGAGAGTGGAGATGCCCTGGGGGTTCTCAGTAACACTAAACCTTCCCTCCCAGCCCCCAACCTTCTCCTCCCTCGGGTACATGGGAAACCCCAGGAATTCCTGGCATTCATTACCAGCAGCTCCCAAGATGTTCAACATGCTCATATCTGTCAAAAACTATTCAGCAAAAAAAGAAAAAGTCTTTATACCTTTTATTCAGCCAATTTTCCCCGAGGCACTCTGGGCTCTCTAAGAAAAGAAAAAGAGAAAAGAGAGAGAATCACAATCAACATTGCCATCCTGCATCTGGATGCCGGAGCTGCTATCGCTCACAGGCGGCCAAGGCAAGCCTGGCTGCAAAGTGCGCTCTCCCCAGAAGCCTGCCCAGGTAGGCTGGGCTGCTCCCACTATGGCTGGGAGTTGAGGTGTTATTTATTAGGCAAAGGCCAAGGCAAACAGACCTGTTTGCCGGATGGGACCAGCCATCCTTCCGCTCAAACTCATTTTCTCTGCAACCCCAGGATGTTCCTTTTTATTTTCTCCTTTCTTTCCTTGGTCCCAAACCCTGAGCATCTCTCTCCAATCCTCCCTGTAGCCCTCTCCTGCTGTGAGGGTGTCCGCAGATGCAGACTTTGTGGATTGTTGATGGGGAAGCTTAGTTTCAGACAGGGTATCTTCCTACCCCTCCCACTTAGCCACCTGAGGGGGAGGCACATCATTCTGTATCCCTGTGTGTGGTCACGGCATGTAAATGTATTTTAATACTAAGTTTAAAAAAGAGGCAAATCCTAAATCACATCACATACATGGTCATAGAAGGAACCGTTGTATATTGATGGAAATGAGGTGCAGTTTCCTGTAGCTTCCACTGGCAGAAGCAACTTGGAGCTAAGGACACAGTGGCAGGACCCATTCATGTTTTCATTGAGTGCTGGAGAGCCAGAGAGCTCATGGTTCTCACCCAAAGTCCCACAGTACATTTGCTGGGGGGCTGAAGCCTCACACTTGAGCCAGCGCCTCTAATCCTGTCCCTGTCAGGAGATCGCTGGAGCTGGAGCTGGAGCTCAGGTGTATGCACAGGCAAGCGGGTGCACTGGGTACTTTGCTTCTTTTGTTTAGATTTTCCTTGTTTGTTTTAGTTGTGGCTCCTTGTTTCTCTGTACAAACCTTGCACAATTGTTTTATTGTGGTAAAAGACACATCCCTGGAGTTTACCAGTTTAGCCATTTTTAAGTGCGTGGTTCAGTGGCACAAAGTATATTCACACTGTTACGCAGCCATCACTACTACCTTATCCTGCAAAGCCTGTTCGTGTGCATGGATTTTTAAACTTACTGTAAAAGAGAAAGCAAGCGAAGAGCTCCTGGAACTAAAAGGCAGTCAGGCCAGGCCTGTTTCTTGAGACTGAGAAAAATCACCATCATTATCTCCATGTACATGGCCATCAACAGCTGGTGGTTGGGGCGGTGGGGCACAGCTCTCCTTCAGCCTCACAACAGCCAGAGGGGCAGGTGCTCCTCTTGTCAGCCTCTCTTTTCACCCATGAAAGGCCCAAATTGGTGAAGCACTTCCCCTAGTAGTGGCTGGCTTGCCCTGCTCAGGCAGGCGCTCCTGAACTGCACCCTGTCACCTGCAGTCAGGAAGACATGCCCTACTCCGTGGGAAGTGGGAATTAAAACAGAGCAGGAATCCAGGCATAGTGGCATATGCCTATAATCTCAGCACTCTGGGTGGCTGAGGCAGGAAGATTGCTAGTTGAAGCCCAGCATGGGAATTCTAGCAATTTAGCAAGACCTTGCTTGTCTCAAAATAAAAATTTAAAAAGGGGCCTAAGGAGTAGTGCAAAGGCCCTGGGTTCAACCCCAAATACTGCAAAGAAGGAAGGAAGGAAGGAAGGAAGAAAGAAAGAAAGAAAGAAAAGAAAGAAACAAGAGAAGGAGAAGAAAGGAGAAGAAGAAGAAAGAAGAGGAAAGAAAAAAGAAGGAAGGAAGGAAGGAAGGATGGAAGGGAAGGAAGAAGGGAGGGAGAAGCAGGACATGTAACTGCACAGGGCTTGCGGGCACACTACTGGTCTATGCAAATCACTGCAGCAATGTTTTGCTATTTCGTAGGCAAACTTGCTCCTTGCCATGGCAGGGGCCCAGGGACAGCTGAACTTGAACCAGCACCAGGCAGTTCATCCCCAAGGTAGCCCCACTGCAGCCTCTGTCTCCTCCCCAGTAAAAGGGTAGAAGCAGCTTCTGCCACCGTAACTGTTCAGCTCTCAGCTTACAGAGCCACTGAGTGGGGGCAGGTGCAGCCGCAGTTCCGCCGAGCAGTAGTCATTTCAAAATGAGACGGATCGAATAAGGAGCTTCCCCCAACTGCTGCCTTCAGCCGAATCTAAGGATATTCTTGTTGATTTATTTTGTGGTTTCCTTTCATAAAGTGAGTCGTCCTCCTGACTCAGTGTGATTCCGTTCCATTCCATCTAGGCTCACTGAGCAAACGCACAGCTGGGTGCGGGTCTAGAGCCAAGCACCAGGGCTGGAAGGGGACCCATGCGGGGAAAGGAAGTCACTCCACTTCTGGCAGGGATAAGCTTCCAACCTGCCCTGTATTCTCTCATCTGCCTCTCTCACTGTACAGAACGCACCCCCACCAAGAGGCCACATCTTGGAAGTTCCACTATCCTTAGGGCACAACATAGGTCTCGCCCTGCAGTTTTGAGATGAGCACTGGCGTTTCCCTTCCTCCTCCAGCATTTCCCACCTTCCCACACCCTCTTTCCTTCCTTTCTCTCCCCATGCACCCCTGTCCCACCTGCCCAATCTGGAGGAGGAAGGGAGAGAGGCCCCAGGTTCGTTTCCATCCACCCGGCTCATGATAGCCCCTGGGCACGCTCCAGGGGTCATGGGATGTACAGCAGATTCTCAGCCTCACTGCCTGCAGCTGCTCAGCAGGATAATGTGTTATGGTCACCTTTACCTGCAGGGATCTGGTCTAGGGAGAAGCACAGCCTATCAGGCCAGTGGTGAACTCTGCACAGCAATCATGGAGACACTTTTGGCAAGTCCTGAACAGTAAGTTGCAGGTACTAGGCTCAAGGGTCTCCACAGTCCAGCTCCCGACTTACTGTCCTCTGCCTGCTGCCTCCAGGTGACTTGTGGGGGCTACAAATACCCAGCTGTCTCTGGGGAGCCAAGCTGGGCAATGAGTCCCCCTGGGGGCACTTGGTTTCCAGTAGGGATGAGCTTCCAGTCTGTCCTTTAGTCTCTCATCTGCCTCCCTGCTGTACAGAAAATGCCCTCCAGGAAGAGGCCACATCTTGGAGGTCCCACTATCCCTAGAGCCCAACATAGGGCTGTCTTTATATCCACCCTGAGGACAGCGCTCCCAACTCCCAAAGCCTCCAACCCTGTTCTCTTCTACCTGGAAAGCATCCGTTCTTCAGAAATTAAGCTGGGACTGTGAGTCCAACCTCGGCGTGAGAAGGACACATCTATTAGCTAAACCCATCGTTAGTGTGATCATGCAAAACCATCTTCCAGGAAAAAAGATCCCTCCATTGTAACCCTGAGGGTAGGCAGGGACGTCTGTGGTGTTGTACTAGTTCCTGCAGGGGCTCACCAGAGCTGGGAAGGACCTGGGCAGCCCTCAGCCTCCACCACAGAGGGGTCTCTCTCTTCCCCATACCCCAGCCCGCTGAGAGGGGCAGGCAACATGAGGGTAAAAAGGCAGCTTTAAAAACCTGCCCATCCACTGTTCTCTTGTTGTGTTACTTTGGGTTTTGTATTAGATCCATTTTTGCTCTTTCCCTACAGGGAACTGGAAGTAAAGGGAGCAATTTTACAAATATAAAAATTAACTGTGGTGGTTTAAGTGAGACTTTTGATGATGGGGATCACAACAGGAGAGTCACAGCAATTTGAGTTTTTCTTCTTCTGAAGAGATAAGGGGAGGGAGACAGGCCCTGGCCTATGGGCCTGAGCCAATGTCAGGGAGGCTTGGAAGCAATGGCAGGCTCTGACCATTACTGGGATGGCTTTGGGTGCAGGGCACACAGCCTCACTCAGGTCTGTGGGAGGGGCTGGCTCTTCCTGGGCCCTGGGCAGTAGGGCTGGAGAGGGTTTGCTCTGTTGCTCTGTTGCTCTGTCAGCCTCGCCCCTTTCCCAGGAAGTCCAGGCAGGGGTTGGCCACCATTTTCCCTGAGTAGCCCTTAAGGCCCAGGTCCCTTGGCCTGCACAGGGCCTGTGCATCTCTGCCTGCACAGGTGCCCCTGGAGCTGCTGTGACAAGAGCACCCACTGTACAGCCTGCGTAGGTTGAATGCCACAGAGCCACTAGCTGGGGATTGGGCTTTTCTGGGGATATACCTTGGCAATGGCAAGTCTGGGGCTTGGAGAAGTGAAGCAATTTACTGAAACCCCATAGCCAGTCGGAGCTGGAGCTGCATTTGCTTTTTTTTTTTTTTTAGTTTTTCTCCAGTACCGGGAATTGAACTCACGACCTTGCGCTTGCCAGGCAGGCACTGTGCTGCTGAGCTAAATCTCCAGCCCCTGGAGCTGCATTTGATACAGACCTGCTTAGCCGCTGGCTTCTCTTTGCTCTTTGCTCTGCTCTAGGTGGGACAGACTGGGTTAGAGCCCAGAGCTTCTGTACACAGAGCAGACCCTGCCCTCATTCTCATTTGTGGGTCTGGTTCCAACCTGCTTCCAGGCCCTGCATAGGAGTGGGCCCTCCGCTCTCTCTGCAGTTCCCTGGGCCCATCCCCCTCTCTGTGGCCAGTGATTCTTGCACTGTGTTGGACTTTGCAAGGCCCACGTGCCCTTGTCAGTGGCTGCGGCTTGGGACCAGAGATGGGGATTGGGACTGGTGGCATGAGGTCTGCAGGCACCTCACCGCCCTCAGTAGGCAGGATCTGAGGAAGACATCTTGTTTACAAAAACTTTTGGACTGAAGTAACTCTTTGTCCACAGGGACTGTTGGAGGGACACAGCTGAGTGGCACTTACAGCATCCAAGCTGTGCCGCTGCTGTGCATCCCCTTCATGCCCCTAGAGAGCAGGTGTGTAAACTGAAACCCAGCTCAGATGGGTCAGGGCCAAGACAAGAAGCCCCAGCACTGCCTGACTGATGGCACCAAGAGAAGCAGAGACCCTGGAAAGAGTTGGAGGGCCCAGAGCATGGGGCCCTGAAAGCTCCCAAATAGATGTCCATCTGGCCTTTGACATATGCATGAAATGCCAGCTGTGCTGGTAGAAGAGTGTCC